TAACAGTTATAAAACACGGTAAGGAAAGTGAAAAAAAAAAACCTTACAGTCTTCTCCATCTAAGGGGCTACTGAACAGACGGCCCAGTTGCCGGTGTCCGCTGAAAACGTCGCAGCAAAAACATCGTGGACGAAAACGTCGCGGAGAATACAACGGAAGGAGAAAACGTTGTGGAACAAAACATCGTGGGAGAAAACATCGCAGTTGTAAAATATCGTGACCGGTCACGATATTCACGATAAACCTTAAGGATTTAAAAATGGAAAATGAGTAGAAATTTAATGTAACTTAAGAAACTAAATAAATTTTAAATTTATATAGCTAATTAGCAAAGGTCATTAATAAATTAACCTTTTTTAATAAAGATTAACATAAGTTTTCATGAAAATACAATCTAAAAATACTTAGAAAAAGGAAGATAAATAGCTCCATGAGGTTACCTCTATAAAAATTTAGTTAATGACCAATTTTTTTTCTTTCACATTTGTTAATCTGATATTGTTTTAATGAAAATAACACAATGTTTTGTTTCAGTTTATTCTTAAAGTATCCTTAACATTTTTCATGTATAGCGTGCAATCAGTTTTTTGCATATCGATTTGTTAGTTATGACGAAAGTCAGTTACATAATGTTTCACTATTAGATTTGAAAAGCGCATGTATGCGATGTTATCGCCGTGCGGTGATTTTGTAGGTACTTTATTTTTTATCATGATATTTTCGACGACTATGTTTTTAAACTGCGAAGTTTCTGAACCGCTTTGTTTTCGACCACGGTATTTTAGAACTGCGATGTTTTCTCTCACAATGTTTTGTACCACTACGTTTGCTTCTTGCTTTGTTTTCGTCGTTTTCATTGGCGATGTTTTTTCCCGTAACCCAGTTGCCAATGACCATACTGGCAGTGACAAATTATTATGTCCACCATGAAGTTCAGGCGCCATTCATTGGGTTTGTCAAAGCTGAAGGCGTGGAAATGTGCAATGCCATTTCTCTGGGCTTGGGATTTCCAACATTCCAGTTGCTAACCGGATTTGCTTTCCAATTTCACAAAGACGCTATAAAGAGGTAGAAAGCTTACGGCATATTCTTTTGAAAACAGATTGAGAATATTCAAATGTTTCTCTTATCATTTTGCGTCTCAAGCTAAGATTTTTATCATATGTAAGGTCTTTTTTTATAAGCAACGGATTTTACTCAGTTTATTATTGCAACATGATGCAGTTGATTATACGTTTTTTCTCAATGAATATCTATTGTGTTGTTAAATATTAAAAATTTAAAATAGTGAAAGTAACAGAGAAAATATGCAGATTATGAAGATTTGCTATTTATATTAGTACTGAGAAAGTGAGTATATTTATAATTTATGCTGTACGAAAAATTTCAGTGCTTAAATAAACTTAGTTGATTCTTTTTTTTCCATCAGTTGTGCATTTCATGGCCTTCTTTATCGCATTAAAATTTATATTTTGTAGTTATTTTAGATAAGTTATTTACGTATTAAATAAAAAATCTGATGATTTATAATATTAGTATCTCTTAAAAAATACTTAGCAGTGTTTGACAGTCTTTTTTTCTCTACAAATCCGTCAGTGCTTTCAGCAACTGTTGACTTATTGAAATAATACTAGTAGATTTCAGATGAGAATTGAATATATAAAAGGAATATTGATATACTTTTACTACATCTCAGCGTCGCGGAATTCAAAAGTTCCGAGATGAGATTTCTGCTGTACTAAAACGTGATATACACTTAGCTTGCAAATGGAGATCAATAAATTATTCATGTTTTGGTTCCAAACAGATTGTACTGAATATAAGAAGCTCATCTCACAATGCCTGTGTGTTCAGAGCTATATCTGAAAAGGAACAGATGGTTTCCTCAATGCATTGTAGCTGCGATATGCATACATATTCTTTCTACGATTTCTACAATCAGATTTATAAGAATATTTATTTTTCACATCCTATGAAATTCCAGTCAGAAATGTAATTTCATACAAAACTGTTTTCATAAAATGATGCAATAAAACAAAATATGCAATTAAATACTTCAAAGCGATTCAAATGAAATGTGTTAGGATGCTTTCATTCGCATTCATTTTGGAAGGAAAGAAAATCATTTTTACATTATGGAACCTCATCAGTTTTGTGTTTCTTTCTCGTAATATATTTTCCAATATCATAAGCATGAATTGCTTTCTCACGGAATAATAGTATATTCGAAATACAATCTTTTTTTTTATCATAACATCAAATTTTGATTCACCAACGGAAATAGCTTTATAACTGTGCACTTGTGCAAATTTCTTATCTAAACTTTTAACTCTGAGATAGCAAAAACTCTTGAATAGGCAAATTATCATTGGTATAAGCTTTTCAAATACTTTTAATACACTAAACAAATGTAGAAACAAGCGGAATTATGCTACAGCGTGGTCATAAAAATAATGCACCGATATTTGAAGTTCTGGAGGCCTATCCGCTCAAACAATCGAAATGAAATTTAAGATATTGTTATTTGAAGTTGTGAGCTCGAAATTGTAATAACTTAATAAAATACAGGTTACGATTGCAGTGAAAACATTTCGGAATCACAATTTCTACTGTTTTTCTGCGCAAACTGATAAGCGCATTGGAAAATCATAAATGACGTTGGAAAGATACACGTATGGCGAAAACTGCCGGCGTAAAACATTTCCAAAGAAGAGACATTTTAAAGGACCCATGACGACACAGAGAATAGTTCCATTGAAACACTTTGCATAATTTACAGGCTTGATTAGTAGAAGCACCAATCACAGAACACCATGTGAAATGTAATTCTTGAGGAAAAACGGTAATCAGCTGTGTGGGAAGATAGTTTCCTCAATCAGGTTTTAGAATGTGTGAACAAGATGACACTTACCGGAAAACAACGAGGTGAATTGATAAGGCTTATTTATCTGAACGGGGAAAATGTTGTCGAATCAGCGAATTTATAGCCAGAATCATAATCTGAGGCCCGTGTTTAGCAAACAGTACGTTATTTGGTAAAAATAAAGATGCGCATGTGCTACACCGCGGTCCGAAAGATTGTGCGTTCCTGCTGAAAGTGTCGCGGAAGTTCATAATACGATTATTACAAGTTCATTGCATACTGCAAGATGTGTTTTTTGCACTTTAGATGTACTGAAAACTTCAATCATCAAGCTTCTGCTTTCTGTTTTGCGGATCTTTCATTATCGATTCCTGCGCGTCCATATGTTGCAACCTGGCGATGAGCATTAGCGTGTCGACTTTTAATGAAGACAGCAGGTTGGGGATATTATGCACAGATGAGACGCATTCACCTTAACGGAGAACATAAACTCCAAGAACTGACTTCACCGCGCTGAGGAAAATCCTCAGGATGTGGCACCAGCGATTTTACTCAAAGCTAAAGTGACTGTGTGGACACACAAGCACATCCATTCTCGGGCCGTATTTCTTCAAATAGGTCAACTCCAGAAACAGGAAAACGTGCTCCATCATTAGGGCTGTATTTACAAGAATGTTGCAAAATTACGTAATTCCAGAAGTGCAGCAGCGAAATATCGTTTATGATGTTCGTATGGCTCCAAGCTAGTGCTCGTCCACACGTCGCCACCCATGTATTCGGCAAATGTTGCAACAGCATTTTGGAGATAAACTCCTATCTTGAAACTTTGCAGCGTTGTCACTGTGATCTCCTGAACCTACTGCGATGGATTTTTGATTCTGAAGTTATCTGAAATTTAACGAGTACACATCAAATCCATGAGATTTGGCAGAATTAAAAGCATAAAACGTGGAGTTATACAGATTCCTCCTGCGATGTTACGTTCATCATTGTTGTCAGCAATCTCCCTACTGCAATGCGTTATCTTTTGCAAAGGTGGGAGTGTTAAAAACTTGTAGTTCCAACGAAATTTTTTTTCCTCTCCTCTCTTGTGTTGTTATTGGTCCTCTACAATGTAGTTCTTTGCAAATGTTTTAGGCCGGTAATTTTCGCCATATGTATATCTTTCCAAAGCCATATATGATTTCTCAAATCGCTGATGAATTTGAGCAGGAAAAAACTGCTATTAGAAAATTTCGAAATGTTTTCATCGTAACCGTAACCTTGAGAGCTCCATTTTTTAATATCATTATAGTAATATCGAGCGCACACCTTCAAAAAACAATATCTGAAGTTTAATTTCGTTTAGTTGATCGGATCCAGTATCGATTAGTTGATCGTATCCTCCAGTAGTTTATATATCGTGAAAAGTGTTTTTATGATCACCCTGTATATAATGAATATTCATATTTAGAGAACTAAATGCGTCGTGGTAAATGTTTCTCATGATTATGAGAACAGCGGTCTACAGCAGAAGATCTAGAACTGTTACAACTGTTTGATACTAGAAATGCGCGTACATAGCCATATGCTACTGTAAGGGAAAAGAAACATAAATTACTAATTCCATTATTAACACTTAACTACAAAATGATTGATCTCTTAACAGTCATCTATATTATGAATATTCTCCCCCTCAGTTTCTGGTGCTATATTCTTTTAGTTGCATTCTACCAAAGACATATAGAATACAATTAACTGTAGTGGTCTATATGTATTTTGGTAGCAAACAACTAGAAGATTATGTGGAGTTTTGCATGATGCCAAAGACATATGATGTATGGGTAACAAAAATATGGAGTACAGTTACATATCCGTCTGTAACAAACAATAAACGTTCTGATCTTGATTCTATTTTACTATTTTAGCTGTTTGGATTTCAGAATAAATGTCTGAAATTTACTCTATGACGCTCTTCAGAAGAAACCCAAAGGCTACTAACACCTTTCAAATTGCATTTACTATATCAACATCATACAAAGCTTGTACTTATCCTGATATTTTTAATGCATTTGATAATTTAGTTATTTATACACCAATTGAAGTGTTAATGTATGTTTATATTTAAGACGTGAATGAATTGGACATGAAAAATCACCTAAAACTTCTAAGTATATGATTCTTTTCTTCATGGGTACCGTGTTGATTTGGCACATGTATTGTCCTCTATCTGCTTCTTCCACATTCGATATAGCCAGATTCCAGTTCTGACGATTCTTGTGGTCAAGAGTAATGCGATAGTTCCGAGTTATGACATGAGTGTGGATACTCAGAATCGTTTGGCTCTCAACTCGTATCCATGCAACCTGGGAAAAGACAAAAAATGCAGTTTTAGTCTAAAAAAAAGTAAGAATGTAATGTACATAAAACATTCAATATTGAAACTTATTTTTATGCTCATAATCTGTAAAAAGTATAATGATAACAGGTAAGTAAACAGGTAGCTTAAATTTTCCAAACATATACAAATAAATAACGTAAGGTTTAATACATTTATTCAGGTTACAGTGAAAGCTGTAAATTCACTTCGCAGTTCCCATTTACCACAGAGGAGTTAAGCAGGAAAGAGATGTTCCTAGCACACATATTAAAACAGTTAATGAAACGTAGGACAAGAACAAGCAAATAATGCTAATCACAACACCATATACAATTGATATAGCATTTCAAAGGCAGAAAAACATTCTGCAATAGAAACTGTATAGAAAATATACTTAAAAACATAACATCAATAAATGACGAAATAGAATATCACATGGGTAATACAAGCTGCCAAGGACGTTTTTTGTGCATATATATGTATAGATATACATATAGTTTATGTACAGATATACATTTATTTATATATTATGGAAAGAGACTAATTCTCCTAAAAAATCAGTTTATTTCTGTGAAATCGGGAACAATTTTCTTGTAAAATATTTTTAAATTTAAAAAGTTTTCAAAACATTTTACATTTTACAATTGTTGCTATCCACAATAAGCACTACCTTTAGTAAGTTTTACAGTTTTCAGAAACTCCCTTTTCAATAGCTTTTAAGCTGAAAAATTAATATTTCCTTTAATGGTAATTTTTCTTTAATGGTAATTTTTCTGCTGCTTAATGCGCGAAAATACTAGGCATGAGTAAAAATCTCATGACGTCTGTACATCTGACGTAAAAGTGGAAAATATTGCAAGTGGCTAGAATTAGGCTCATGAAAGTATACCACATAGACAGCAAGAGTTGCAGTGCTATAAATGTGGCACAAAAAAGTAATACAGAAATATTGGAGCAAGGCACAAAAAACTGGACTGTTGGAGCAAGGCACAAACTGGGGACATGTAAAATTTTATCTGGTTTCAGAATATTATTTCAAAGAATCTTAATACGTGACATGGTCTCTAACAAAAACAAGGAGACCCACAATTTTCATTTATGATGCGTTATTAAAATCCACTTATTTTCTAGTAATTTTCTATATTTTTTGGTGATACAAAAAATTTGTTGAAACACAATTTCTGTATAATTTGGTGACTGTACTCTATATTATTTGTTATATATATATTTTTATATTTTTCATACAAAAAGCATGAGCAGAATTATTGAATAAAACGGGGTGTTTCGTTAGCAGGAACACTGCGCCTTTAGCGATCTCATGCTATTAAGCATCTAACATCTGTCTTATTAGAAAACATATGTTGTATATATTTTCTATTTCGGTTGTTTTTTGGAAATGAATTCAAACAAAGCAGTCTTGAGGGGTGAGGTGTGTTTTGTGCTATGAAAGCCCTAATATGGTCATCTTGAAATTATTGTGAGTAATTTTTCAGGTGGCATTTTTATCAGTAGCTCGAGTCATCTTTACTTAAAGCTGCGCGAATTTTTTGCTGTCGCTTTTTAGTCTCATTCCCGTTCTTTTTTTCAATAATTGTGTAGATATTTTTTGTGTATGTATATCAACTTATTTTACTTTATTGTTAGTATTAATTGTAGTTAATTTTTTTATTATTAATTTTCCATAAATGGCGCGGACAGGTCTAACTCTTTCCGAAGCGCTAAAATTACTTTATGAATTACCCTCTTATTCTGAATCAGAGCATGAAGATAGCAGAGATACTGAGATATACGCTCCTGAACCACTTGTGTAATCCAATGTGTAATCCGACGTGGCCTGACCACACAACTATCATTGCATATGCTGATGACGCGGCTCTCCTTGTTAAAGGTCGCACATGAGACGAAATTGAAGCCAATGGCAGCGAAGCGTGCGCCAAGTTCGCAAGCCTATGCGAAGACCTTAAGCTGAGGATTTCTATCACCAAGTGTTCTGCACTCTTCATCCCGAGACCGGGCACGAGGCCTGTACGTCGTCCCTGTATCCGATTACTTGGCCGCAACATTAAATTCACGGATACACAGAAGTATCTAGGAGTGGTCTGGGACTCTGGCCTAACATGGGTGCCACATTTGCAGTAACAGAAAGCAAAAACCTCCGCTATAGCCAGAATGACACGGAAATTTCAAGGAAGGAATTGGGGACTAAATCCCCACATTCAAAAAGTGCTTTATAGCACGGTGGTGGAAAAGATTGCGCTGTACGCAGCTGCAATCTGTGCTCAACCGATGACAACGAGGAAAATCAAGCAGTTAACATCACTCCAACGCCCTTTTGTCATAAGCATATGCAGGGCATACTGCACAACAGCCGCGAGCTCCGCCCTTACTCTAGCAGGTATAGTCCCTCTACACATCCAGGCCGAGCTAGAGGCGACATATACGAGAGTCCTTCACCTGAGGAAAGACGCCTCCTTCGGAAGTACTCTCTACAGTCCAGCACTTTATGAGCACCCCAAGACACCGCTGCACACACATCCAGCGCATAAAGGACTAGGGGTCCATACCCACATCATGCAACAGCCCAACAAGGAAATACAGCACATCAGCAACCATATACTCTACACTGATGGTTCTAAACATGCTGAAGGCGTTGGCAGTGCTTTCCTGCACTGTTGGCAAGCCAAGAATTACAATCATTGGAAAGGCCACCTAGGTGACAGCAATAGCGTCTTTCAGGCCGAAGTGATAGCAATTACAGCTGCTGTTGAATATCTAATAAGCCAAAAAATCTCAAAAGCTTATCTCTATACGGATAGTATGTCTGCCTTGCTGGCCCTAAGTAAACACAACCATGTTTCCCCGTTGATCATCCGCCTTCAAAAACTTTTAAAAGATAATCCACAGGTACACGTGGACATGACGTGGGTGAAAGCTCACGAAGGCAATGCAGGTAATGAGGCAGCGGACGTGCTCGCCAAAGAGGCAGCCTCAAACATCAACGTCCCATCGCTGTTCCGGCGCCACCTTCCCATCTTAAAAGACTGCTGAAAGGCGCAGCAGTCCAGTGGTGGCAAAGAGTATGGGAACATGGAAACACAGGAAGAAGAGTGTATGGCTTTCTACCGATGGTGACAACGGAGAGACTCATAGCAAACGCTCCACTTACTAACTTTGTAACTGGGCACGGTCCCTTTCCGGACTACTTCAACAGACGCACTATTTCTAACACGGATCGCTGTGTATGCGGGGAAGAGGGGACACCCGATCACTATATCTTCCGGTGCCCACTCACAGAATAGTACCATTTCCCGGAACCCACGAACATACCTGCCTTCCACAAGTTTATCCTTAAAAATAAAGCGGCAATCAACATAGTGTGCAAAATCGTTAACACCATTAAGGCCTACGGCCAAGACCTTTGCCTCCCATTATAAAACAGTGCTATTCATAAGGGTCCCAGTGACTGCATTCTGCCTTAATAAACTGTGCAACAACACATACTGCATGCTGTATACCGTTAGTGTTTCACTTGTGGGTATTGCGTACATTCTGCGCAATGTGCCTAGTACTGCCACTGTAAAGTACTTTCCCTGAAACTATACTGAACTGCCACTATAACTATGCACCTTATAAGTAGTTTTATGTGTTTAATGCAATGTGTGTGTTTAACGTAATGATTATATATGTTTTATGCTGTTTAATGTCGTATTGTGTGTACTTTGTATCATTGTACTGTTATGTTTTGTATATTTTGTGTTGAACTGTGTTTTCTCTATGTATATTTATTTGTCATGTATTTCAAATGTGTGTGCTTAATTATGCATCATATTAATGTGTAATGTGTATATGTAATAATGTATGTATATAATGTGTATGTAATTATGTATCATATTGATGTATAAGTAGTATTTTATGTGCAAGCAGTAACCCAAGTGTAAGCAGTAATTTATGAGTAATAATATGTAATGTAATGCATATATTTAAGTATATTAATGTGTAAGGTAATGGGTATAGTAATTATGTATCATATTAATACGTAAGCAGTATTGTCTGTACAAGCAGCAAATCATGTGTAAGCAGGAATATGTGTGAGCAGTAACTTAGGTGCAAGCAGCAACTTACGTGCAAGCAGTAATGAGTATTTTTGTATCATACTAATGTGTAAGCAGTAATTAATGAGTATTTACGTATCACACTAATGTGTAAGCAGTAACTTATGTGTAAGGAGTAATTTTATGAGTATTTATGTGTCATACTAATGTGTAAGCAGTATTTCATATGTAAACAGTAACTTATGAGTAAGCAGGAACTTATGCATCATCAGTAGGCAGCAATTCCTGTGTACGTAGTAATTTACGTACAGTGCAACTGAATATGTATGTAATCATAAACATGTAATTTATGCATAAGAAGTAACAAGGTGCAAGCAGTAACTTATGCGTAGGCAGTAATGTATCATATTAATGTGTAAGCAGTACTTGTATTATATTAATGTGTTATGTATCATATTAATGTGTAATGTAATGAGTATATGTAATTATGTATCATTTAAAGTGTAAGTAGCATTCTATGTGCAAGCAGTAATTCAAGTGTAAGTAGGAATTTATGTGTAAACAGTAATTTAGGAATAATAATGTGTAATATAATGCATATATTTATGTGCATATGTAAGTATATTAATGTGTAAGGTAATGTGTATATGTAATCATGTATCATATTAATATGTAAGTAGTATCTTCTGTGCAAGCAGCAAATCATGTGCAAATAGCTTATGTGTAAGCAGTAATTAATGAGTATCTATTGAACATAATGTGCAAGCAGTATTTCATATGCAAGCAGTAACTTATGTGTAAGGAGTAATTTATGAATATTTATGTATCATACTAGTCTGTAAGTAGTAACTTATGTGTAAGCAGGAACTTATGTATCATCAGTAGGCAGCAATTCATGAGTACGTAGTAATTTATGTACAATGCAACAGAATATGTATGTAATGCAATGGTATAACGGAACTATGCACAATGCAGCTATGTAATATAATCCCTGACTGAAACAGCATGATGTTTCATACTCCGCACTGAATAACCAAATACGTGTAAACTGTGATCCGAATGTTGCCATATGTACAATGCTATATGTAATAATGTATCATATTAATGTGTAACCAGAATTTTAAGTGCAAGCAGTAACTTATATAAGTAATAATTTATGTGTCATCAGTCATCAGCAAGCAGTAACTTATGTGTAATGTAGCAGTTATGTATAGTGCAACAGTATATGTGTGTAACGCAACGGTGCATTGCAACTATGCAGTATATTCTTTAACTGAAACAGCATTTTGTTTCATACTCCGCACTGAATAATCCAATATGAGTGAACTGCGATCTGAATGTTGCCATATGTACAATGTATTCTGCAATTGTGTATCATATTAATGTGTAAGCAGTATTTGTATCATAATAATGTGTAATTATGTATCAAATTAACGTGTAATGTAGCATGTATATGTAACTGAGCATCATATTAATGCACCATTTTAATGTAATCATATTAATGTAAGCAGTATTTCATGAGTAAGCAGTAATTTATGTGTAAGCAGTAATTTATGTGTAAGCAGTAATTTATGTGTAAGCAGTAATTTATGTGTAAGCAGTAATTCAGGTACAAGCACAAGCAGTAACTTATGTGTATGCGATAATTTACGAATAAGCAGAATTTATATGTTATCAGTAGGCAGTAATTTATGAGTAAGTAGTAATTTATGTTGAAGTATCGATAAACTCCCGGTGCGCCCTTATGGGGCCACAGGGAGTTGTTGCGTCTGGATAGGGAAGGGTGTGGGACATATGCCTGTTTACCTTTGTTAGACGCCAGGCGTCCCCGTCCTCCGTCACCTGTGTAATCCGATGATGATATGTCGGATGAAACTCATTTATTTGATGAGAAGGTTGATGATCCATCTTACCCAGGCCCTTCTACACAGCCTCAAGTTTTTACTTGGAATTCTAAATATATTGTTGCACGAAACAAGAAGCCGCACAAAACAAGTTTTGTGTTCAAAACCTGCAAAGTTGTTTGTGCTTATATCAAAAAGGTGTGACATGCTTTGAACAATTTCACAAAGCTGAGAAATCGAAAAATTTGTAAATATCTTTGCATATAGGACTTGTGTATATGCATATATTTACCTCATTTATTCATATTTATTCAAGAATGTTGTGTATATCCAGAAAACCATGTATACAGCCATAATACAGTCTTTTTTCATTACTATAATAACGCTCCTACTCATTTCCGTGCTTCATGGCCCACCAGCGGCCGAGCGGTAAAGACGCTGAACACTGGTACTTCGGTCCGAGGTTCGAATCCCGCGAACGGGCTGGCTGCATGGGCGTTTTCGTGGATTTCCCCATGTGTAACGTGTATACGGGCCAGTTTCCCTTAGAAAGTCCTCCACGAAAGGCATCCCTCCCCTTAGGCAGATAGCCCTAGTGTGCTTTGCCATAATTAAATACACCAGCACCAACACCATTTCCGTGCTTCACTGCAATGCTCGCTTAGTCGTACTTTTAAGATATCTGGCGGCGCAGTTTTCCACCTCATGGAACACCCACAAAATTAAAACAGTAAGTGCAATTTATACAAAATTTCACCTGTATACTCTTTTAGGCTAGATAGACGGCATACAACGTTTTTTTTTTTTTTTTTTTTTTTTTTTTTGTTGAAATTCCGACTGTAACGTATAGTGCACCACAAAGGGTTAATCAGATATTCTCAGCAAATAAGATACCTGGAGAACGGGCTGGCCAGGCCATCAGTCGTACAACCTCTGTGTAAAGAAACGTCAGTATCGCACAGGCAACATGAGATCGTGCATTATCTTGTTGAAAGAAGGCGTTTCATAGCTGTCGAAGACAAGGCAGAGCTATTTTCCTTAACTCGTCAGAAATGAAATAGAGGCTGTTCATATTACCGAGTTCGCAAACAAGCGGTGACCGGAATGGGTATCCAGTGCCATCCCCATATGTCCATTAAGAGACGACATGGTACTACTTCTGTATCCAGTTGCGTCACTAATCACACCACTATAAGCGCGAATATCTGTATTGCAGCGTGAACAATGGTAGCCGTGCTGAAAGGTCGTGATGTTGCACTCGTCATCGCGCTGTCCGAGTTGTGGACACTTAGTTGTGGGATCCGAACGATACCCGATTAGTCTATGCAAGCAGCCCGGGTGTCTGGACCTGATCTTACCTGGCACCTGTCTCCAAGCACACGATCCAAATACTTGACTCGCGGTACACAGCGTAGTTGTACAGTTCTGCAATGACAGCATATATCCCTTGAGCATTAAGGGGACTCATACACCTTAAAACCCATAAGATCTTAGAATATGTAACTGTAGGAAGAATTGGGATAACTTATTTATTTTAAAAGCAATTACTTCCATATTTTTACAGCTGACAAATAATATAGCTATTTTCTGAAATAGTAATGACAAAGTTTGTATTGCCACAAATATTTTTATAACTTAATCCGCTTTGTGGCAAAATTTTTCGTCATGTTTTCACCTTGTGCGCACCGTTTAAAATATTCTGTTGCATAATTTAACTTCATATTTAATATATAACTTTTATAACATTTGGAAACTACTGTGAACCACAAATTCTAAGAATATCATGCTACATTTTTATTTTATTTGGAGTTGAGTTTATAAAATGTATTTTATTTTAAAAAATCTGTAATGTTTTCGTGCATAAAATTTTTTAATATTAAAATATTTATCATATTTTGGGTTCGGTTAGAAAATAGTGCTCATATAAAGAAAACCATCAAATTTCAAGTATGTACCATTAGCCATTTTTAAAATATCATGCGCGCAAGGTGGAAACATGACGAAATATTTAGTCACAAAGCGGATTAAATTACAAAAATATTTATTGCAACACAAAATTTCTGGTTACTAGTTCCCAAAGCAGCTATATTATGTAGTCAGCTGTAAAAAGTTGAAAGTAATTGCTTTTAAAAGAAATAAAATATCCCAATTC